AAATCAAAAATTAGCCGGGCGTGGTAGCGCGCACCTGTAGTTCTGGCTACTTGGAAGGCTGAGGCGGAAGGATCAGCGGAGCCCAGCAGGTAGAGGTTGCGGTGGCCAGGAACGTGCCACTGCACTCCAGTCTGGGCAACAGAGTGAGGTTCCAACTAAAAAAAAAACAAAAAAATTACTCTGTGCCACAAATGAATTATTTTACCTATTCTTCACTTATAAAGCAGTTTGAGGACAAAAACCTGCTTTGTCATTGTATTCCAGTTTTCTTTAAGTGAAGTAGACTTAACTGCTTTTAAGATATCTGTTTTTGGCCATCTTGCATCCCCACGTGCAAACACCTAATCTCAGCTGGTCCAGCCGAGACCCCCTGAGTGCCAACCCTAGTCCCTTGCGTGGCCCCTCTTCCGCTCCAACAAGATGAAAGAAACTATCATAAACCAGAAAAAACCCACCAAACTGCAGGCACAAGTGTGCACTGGTGGGAAAGGAGCTGCTTGCAGAAAGAAGAAGGTGGTTCATAGAACAGCTACAGCCGATGATTAAAAAAACTTCAGTTCTCCTTTAAGAAGTTAGGAGTAAACCAGGCTTGGTGGCTCAGCCTGTAATCCCACGCTTTGGGAAGCTGCAGTGAGTGGATTGCCTGAGCCCACGGGTTCGAGACCCGCATGGGCAACTTGGCAAGCCCTCATCTCTACAATAAATAAAAAAAAAAATTAGCCGAGCGTGGTAGCGCGCACCTGTAGTTCTGGCTACTTGGAAGGCTGAGGCGGAAGGATCGCAGGTGGAGGCTGCGGTGGCCGAGAGCGTGCCACTGCACTCCAGTCTCAGTGACAGAGTGAGACTCCAATTCAAAAAAAAAAAGAAGTTAGGAATAAACAATATCTCTGGTATGAATAGGTGAACATGTTTACAAACCAAGGAACAGTTATTCACTTTAACAACCCTAAAGTTCAGGCATCTCTGGCAGCAAACACTTTCACCATTACAGGCCATGCTGAGACAAAGCAGCTGACAGAAATGCTACCCACCATCTTACACCAGCTTGGTGCAGACAGTCAGACTAGTTTAAGGAGACTGGCTGAAGCTCTGCCCAAACACTCTGTGGATGGAAAAGCACCACTTGCTACTAGAGAGGATGAGGATGATGAGGTTCCAGATCTTGTGGAGAATTTTGACGAGGCTCCCAAGAATGAGGCAAACTGAAGTGAGTCAACTTCTGAAGAAGATAAAACTTGAAGAAGTTACTGGGAGCTGCTATTTTATATTGTGACTGCTTTTTAAAATTGTTTTGTTTATGGATCTGATAAAATCTAGATCTCTAATATTTTTAAGCCCAAGCTCGCGGGACACTGCAGCTCTTTACAGTTTTTGCTTATTCACAACTCATTCTTTGCAGCTAATTAAGCTGAAGAAGCCTCGGAATAAAGTTTGAAACAAAGTTCTTTGCCTAGTTAAAAAAAATAATAAGATATCTGTTTTTTCCCTTTGAGTAGAAGTTTCACTCTGTCACCCAGAGTGGAATGTAGTGGCATGCTCATAGCCACCACAGCCTCTGAGCTCAGGCGATCCTTCCGCCTCAACCTTCCAAGCAGCTGGAACCACAGACACGTGCCACCATGCCAGATTTAAAAAAATATTTTTTTTAATTGTAGAGACAAGGTCTCAACAAGTTACCCAGGGTCGTCTTGAACGCCTGGCTCAGGCAATCCTCTCGCTTCTTCCTCCCAAAGTGCTGGGATTACAGGCACTATGCCCAGCCTAAGATATACTTTAAAGTTAGCTTTGAATGACCTTCTGCAAATTTCACGGTTCACCAACATCCTAATCACCCTTTGTGATTCAGCACAAAAATAAATAACATCCTTTTGGTAACTTTCCTTAACATCATCACCCTCTTTCCTACTCACTGACAACAATGAATAGCTTTCAGAACTGTGTCCTAACACACTCCTACATAGCATGCATGTATTTTAATTGTCTTTCTTTCCGGATTATGAGAGCTCTAACTTTATTCATCTTCAAAGGTCCACACTAACATAAATAGTGTCTTATACTCCTTAAAAAATTGGGAATTGGGAATAAGAAGGTGTTGGAGAGTTTCACTGCAATGACACTGCACTAATGATGACAATACTTACTGAGTTCTTTTTTTTTTTTTTGAGTTGGAGTCTCACTCTGTCGCCCAGACTGGAGTGCAGTGGTCACTCCCGGCCACCGCAGTCTCA